TTAGAACACAATTGCTGACGTTTCGGCGGTTTCGCCTTCTATATATATATATATATATATATATATGTATATATACAAATATACATGAAAAACCATTTTTGGCAAAGGTTAGCCATTTACAAGTGCTTAAATTGTTCAGCTTAAGTTGTTTAAATTGTTTCACCTAATTACCTTAGAGTTGCAGAAAATGAAGTGCATCTGAGTGAAAATGAACACGATAGCACAAGCGTCAAGAGAAAGAGAGAGTGATGAGCAATTGGCGTCAGAAGTGCACAGAAACACCAGAAACGAATAGTAGACGACACCAATCACGCCAAAAACTGAAAGTTGGCAAATTAATTCTGCGGCGTTTGGCTAACATTCTATGCCATAATTTGATTTTAATCTACTCTTACGGCCAGATTTTTTCTTACCAACACATCCCAGTCTCAGAAATAAGCTCCCGGCAGACGGCCCGCAATGAGTGACTTTCCTCACGGTGGCGACGGCCGACGAGACAGAAGGCTCGTACGACTCGAACCTCTTTACCTGCCTCTGAAACATTCCCTGATTAGAAGGTCGAATTTTATGAAAACAACACTGCAGTGCTCTTGGTGAGTCTTTCAGCCAGTGCATTTTTTCGGGCGTTTCAAATCTGCTGATACTTATTATAACATGAAAGGGCCAGGTAGCGCAGTTGTAGTGACGTCGATTATCACGAGCGTGGTCACGACTGGGCCACTCTCCGAGCACATCAGGCTGCCATCCCTCCGGAGCAGCCATAATGTTGTTGAGATACTAATACGACAATGGTAAGATATAAATAATATGATAACCATAATGACGCGGTTGTATTTCCTGTAATACCGTGAAAAAGTGTAGTAGGAAGCAATTAAAAAGTGACCATAGAAAAAAGTTGAGAGACAGGCGAAGCGAAGGACCCGCATGGTGTGGTGATGAACGCGTTAGCCCCGGAAAGGACAATAGCGCGTTCGTTCCCCACCATAGACACCTGCGGTCCGGAGTTTGGCAAATATCTCACCATCGTTGTGGTAAAAAGTTAACAATGTATCAGCAACACTACTAAGTCATTCACTAGATCAATGATCAGTGGAAACATATAAGCTCGCTATTCTAGCCAAGTTCACCTTAATGGCATCAATTGTCCAATACCAACGCGGGTTAAGAAGTAGTACCACATACATGTAGATAAAGAATAGAATTGACACCCCATACACGTACATTCCAAATATCTGCAAAAGTTCCGTAACAAATGGTATTGCCAGTATCAGTTTGAAATCGATTTCTTTTGGAATATAGGCTTACCAAATCCTTCGTGTTAATTTCTCTTTGTTCTTCACCAGAAAGTAGGTGAGACAGTTCAAGAACAAGAGCGAAAATTGTGAGAAACAGGCTATAAAATCCAGTAAGAGCAGTCAGCATTCCATCTCTAAACGAACACTTCTCAATTAGAAAATACCAAACATGCGCACCCATGTCTATATCTTTGTTTATCCACTTTTTGAAATAGTGAACCGCCTGCAGCTTAATGGTTAAAAGTGCCACGCAATACACTGTAGTCGATAAAACTCTTTATGCCGTGTCGGCCAATTCTCCATCAATGCAAGGATGGAAAATTGGCGGCAGACTTGTCCACGGAAAGAGCTTTTCGATCCATAAATAGCTGTGATACCTGTGGTGAATATCTGTGATTACAATAGCACCATTATCCCTGGATTCCGTTAGATCTATTCCGATCGTCAAGTAGTGAGATTCGTGAAAAGGACAAAATTTTGAGGTTCCTTTACTGGAATTCATAAATTCGAACACCGTGAATTTCGGATAAAAGACAACGAGCGGAATGAAAGAAATTATGGAAACCACATCATATAGGGACGGAAGATATTTTGAAAAAATTGAAGGCCGTGAAAGAGGAATGCGATAGAGGATGAAGCACAAAACGAACGCCGTTTATCAATTTGTGATGGTTACGCCAAGCATTCACTTTTGTTCGTAGCATTGCGAAGGTGGTTGAATACGTATTTGACCTATACTTGATTAGATTTAGACTTGCGGTGGTTTGCCGATGTATCCAATCAGTGCTGCTATCCTTTCAGAAAAGCCTGGTGCCAACTTTCCTATCCCTGAGAGATGGAAGGCTTAGTGAGCCCGGACGTGGGATCGAGCCTGAGGTCGATCTAGTATGCATTGCAGTGCATCTATAGCCGCTGCGCTAACACGCCCCTGTGCAACCTAAATACCTTAATAATAATTTAACTTTTAATTACTGCCTATTTTTTGCACAGCAAGGTATAATATGTAATATAACCAAAATGATGCTGATATATTAGCAAAGCTCGGGACCTCAAGTGTGCTTCATATCCACGAGTGTCCTTTCCGGTAACTTGCATGCTGTCCACCACGCCAGCCAAAGCCCTTACTTTGGTTTCTCTTAGTCAGCTTATTACTCTAGCGGTGCTATAAGCAAAAACCCGTCAATGATAATGATCTGCGGAGCACAAGTCGGTATCCAAATCAGCCGTGGTGATAACTGACAGGTTAGGATTGCTGGTAACGTCGTTTGGGTAAAAAAAAACTGGCTGGGAGAAATCAAAGAGTAGCCTCGAGTGGTGTGATTAGTGGCAAGTCACCCTCCGTTAAGGGTGATCGTGGTTTCGATGACCAGCTGAAGTTCCGAGTTTTGCTTCCATCTCAGCATCCTAATGGTTGGTTGTATATCACAACGAACCTTGCTATGAAAAACGAATAAACAGCGATTAAAAGCTGCTACGGCAAACGTTGCATAATTTCCACAGCAAATCAAACGCAAAACTGTAGATAAGACACAACGGATTTTGCGAATCGACGGATGGGACCAACTTATTTTTTACCCGACCCACAAATAACAACACAAGTCCAAAATCATGGCAGGACAGTTAAAGCTACAAGGTAACACATCACACGTTTTCTACTTAGCTTGATTTGAGAGCCATCACCTGTCGTCCCGTTGATCGCCGAGTGACTCGATCAAGCGTCGGTGCCAGTAAACTTTTCTTTGCCCGTGCAAGAGTAACCAAGCGAATTCTGCTCTCTCTAAGGATTAGCTGAGCATTATGTCTCTCTTCTAGGGTTTTCGTGAAGAACTCTGGTCATGGGTTGGGTTGGTGGCATTCCTGCAGCATTTCGACATCCCGACGAATCCAGTCACAAATGGCTTTTTTTCTATTGGTTGTCGTTCGCACGCATTACATGCCCGTCCCACCTTATCTTCGGCAGTTTGGCTTATAAAAAAGCGTCTTAGATTTCTGACCGTTGACATAGATCGAAACGTCAGATCTCTTCCCACACTTCTGTCACACGGGATACTCCTAACATCGTCCTTTCAACTGCGCGTTCAATAACACTAAATGATCTTTCATCCTGCTTACGCAGCAAGCAGATTTCTGACGCATACGTTAAGGCACGAAGAAACGTGGAGTCGAAAAGATGGGCGCGAAGTGGGATCTTTTTTGTTCTCTTCACTACATCCTCGATGTTCCTGAAAGCACCCCAAGTCGCTCGTTTCCTTCTAATCACCTCTGGAGCTAAGCCGTTCATTTTGTTGATTTCCAGACTTAGATAAAAGTGACTGTGCCATTCGGGGATATTCATTCAGCTGAACGTGAAGGGGTGAACGAAACCAGTCCGTTCCTCATGAACATTCCAGAGCTTTCAATGACTGCTTCTATTCCAGCTGAGTCAAAAGCTTTCTTTAACTTTATGAAAGCGACAAAAAGCGGTCTCTTGTACACTCGCGATACTTAATTGAGCTTTGCTATCGAATGGATGTGGTCCATCGTACTGCATTCTTTCCGATACCCTGCTTACTCACATGGCTTTCCGTCGGCCCGTGTTCTATCAGTCTTGTTTAGGACAACTCAAGTGAAGAGTTTATAGACGACAGACAGCAAGCAGATTGGGCGATAGTTCACGATATCGTGAAAGTCAACCATCTAGAACAATAACACAATCCTTCTGGTCTTTCACCGAATAAGAACCTTGCATTCAGACAGATAACGTCCGAAAAGCTGAGCCCGCTTCTTTATGAGGACTGGCAAGAAGTTCTTCAGGTGTTCAGATCTAATCCTGTCTGAATCTCGTGTTATCCTATTTTTCTCCGACGAAGTAGCATGTCGGATTTCGGAAGGAAGAACCGATGGGACCATATATCCGTCCTATGAAGTCGGGTGAATATAGCTACTGAAAAGATCAGAGCAATGATTCTGAGTGATTTTCACTACTGCCTTTCCGGAAGTTGTGACTGTTCCGTTTGAGCCAAGGAGTGCAATTATGTTGGTCTTGTAATAGACAAAGTTTCGGTAGGATTTGCCAACGTTCTTCCCAACCTCTGGGGCCATGATTGCTGATTTTATGTCAAGAAGATCTTTTTTTATCGTCTCTCTGCATTAATTTGCAAGGTCGAACGTGAGTCCCCTGTTGCCTGCAGCTTATGCGACTCGGCGTATTAGCGCCAGTCCTTCTGAAGTCAGACGTCTCTTAATGGCTTCCAAACTTTCAGCTTCCATAGCACTAACGTAAAGATGCCAAACTGTGGTTTTCGATGGCGGTTGTCTCTCACAGAGGGATCTCATGTCGGTTAGTCGCGAGACAACATGGCGCGTCCTCAGGTAGTGGATAGTGGCTAATCGTGAACCAAAAGCGAGCTTTGCTTCCTTGAGACGCAGATGGATCCAGGGGATGGTATTCTTTTTTCTGCGCTGATTTGGAACATACCTTCTGTATTTACGAGGTCGTATTATGCATGCATACGTGGGTGAGTTCTCTTTTATGCGGATTGTATTCTACAAGTCCATTCGGGCGAACGCTTGCAATAAGGTAAAAGGAAGGTGTATGGGAGGCGGTTAGGAGTCCCCTCCAACACGATTCATGTAGAGTGGAGCATCACTCTAATGAAGAACTGCACTCGGCAGTGCGCTTTTATAGAATACAGGTGTTGATCTATTGCTATCCAATATGATCTGCTTTTTGGGCACCGGATTTGAGGGACCCATATCGCGACGATGAGATGCTCTGGGCGGTCGAATCGAATCAACGACGGACTCTGAATGAAATGAAGGCACGGAAAGGTTAAAATAAAAGGATAGAACGAAGTGCTTTGAGGCGCTACACGCGCCCTACGGAAAGGTTAGCGGAAAATAATAGAGGTTCCTAGTAACTTTCATGCCTCTGACTATTATGGCCACATCAATTCGTAATGTGCTGAACGCTGCAAAAAAGCCAACGAAACTGCTTTTGCAATAAACTCAAATATTTCTGAAGGTTTGGAATACAGGTGTAGTCTGGCCGTTCTCTTACTTTGCTTCCTTGCTGCGATTCCACGTTTCTTCAGCACTGTTTTTCAGTTCGGAAGTATCGCTAGCACTGTCGAAGGAGAGCGTCGAGCCCTCTCGTTTCATTTTCTCTCTTTCCTTCAGCACCTTTGCTACGTCATCATGCAATTCATCATCCTAAATAAAGCCAAATTATCAAAAACATGAGCATATCTTTTAATTCAAAAGAGCACTGGTGTTATCGTTTGCGTTTAAGCAATGAAAAATTTTTTTGAACTACTAACAAGATACACATTCGACTTCATCAAGCATCGCTAGAAGTGTTTTAATGCATGGCTGGTCCATACAAATTGCTGAAGTGGCCCGCTGATGTGTAATCTCAGTATTTTTCACTCCTCAGAGAAGACGTACGAATTGCAGAAGATTTGCAGAACACGTGCCATGGGCCAATGGGATGCCTGGTGAGTCCGGACGCGGAATCGGACAAAAACCAATCTAGTGTGTATTGAGGAACACCTCTAACCATTACGCTACATCCGCTCTACATGGTTCACTAACCGAACGAAAAGCTGGAGTAAGGAAAATTTTAGCTCGGAAACTCGCTAGCCGAAATGGGGAGTTAAAAAACGAGTATTAAAGAATGTTCTGCGTTTCTCTTCGCCACGAAGACGACCCGTTTCCTAGTCGTACCGCGCCCTTGACAAGAAATGGATTCTCTGTGAAAACTGACGACCTTCAAGAAAGATTTTATCTTTTGGCAAAAAAAAAATTTTCCACTTTTTCGGGACATATTTGACCGAAATGAGGCAAGAGGGCCAATTTCTCATCAGAAGATTATGGTGACTGTCTGATGATCGGTTGATGAAATCACCAACTGGCACTTCTTCAATGCCAAGACTTTACAGATGATTAACAGATTGGGACTTGCACGTAGACCCTGGCAGGTTTCTTTTTGGAAAAACCTTCAACGATTCCAGAAGCTCGCCTTGATTAAATAAACTAATCCTCTCCTCTACGAAAAACGTGTAGAAATTCTAGTCCTTATATGGGGATCGGTAGAATCTGTTATGAGTTGCCTTCATTTGAGAGCAATGCTTCAGACTGCGATTATTTCCTAGAGCAGCCAATATGGATTAAGATTGGTTATTGTCTTCTTGTAATTTTATTGAACGCGATTATGACCGATACATAGCTCAACCTCTTAAAAACATAAAGTTATGCTGCTTATTGTACTAGAGTGCTTGACTAAGAAATATGAAGCTATTTAATTGTTGGGACAAGAATAACTAGTACGTCAGCGCAAGAGGGACTAACTAGTTCTCTACCGTTTTTTCCGGATTCATTTCTCTATTGACTGGATCCCGTCCAGATTCTACTGGAGAGACTTCGTCGATTACAGTTGTCTGGAGGTTGCGATCAAAGCTGAAACAAAAGTATTCGTGGATCGCACTCAGTGCAAAATTAACATGTAGAAGAGATTCTTGAACGGTTCTATCCTAGTGTGAGTGTTTAGATTACGATGAATATGGAAACTTATTCACTTCCTGATTTCGATGTCCTTAAAAGGCCTCCCGTAGAACTAACGAGGTTAACCTGACAGAAACAGGCTGTGAAACAGTGGATAAACGATGAAACAGTGAGGGCAACATAAATTAGGGTACAGCAGGAGAAAGGTAGCATCAAATCCAGAATCCAAACGTGAACTTCTGATTATTAATGTAAATTCAGCAAACCACTTCTCTGTGTAGAATTATTTATGTATTCTTTCAATCTTTTTCACCACCATCTGGCCCACCAAAGTTGGCTGCATTCTGTGATAATGAGGAAGGCATAAAGGTTATTTGGAATTCCGAAGAATAATTCTCTATAAACCAGCAATTCTCCCTTCAAGTAGAAGATATGATATGTCCAATGACCGACTTTATAATAACCTCGGCATTGGATTATAAATATCTCGTTTTCTTTTCCATCAACTGCGAGTTTGTTATTCAGCACACATTTAGTTCCTTAGAAAAACAACACATACAACACAACGGTGGCTGAGGTTTCGGCAGTATCGCCTTCTTCACAGCCTGGAAGGGTACACTGATACGCAACTTACTAGGTCAAGCTCATCAACAGCACAAGCAAAAAGATGAAAGTCTGAACGATAATTACAAGGTCT